AAATTTTATCAATTGGGTTCAAGAATTGACCAAGATGTCCATAAAATCGATAGAAACTGTGCGCTAAAAAAGTGCAGAAAAATAGGTTTAGAAATGTAAAAACAGTAGAAGGCTTTATATTTGTCTGTGAGCACCGTTTTCAGTGGACATTCCAAAGTTGGGCTCAGTGATCAACGTTGGAATTTACATGAATAATGCTTTCTTTTTGCCACTGCACCGTGTCAGGTATAGGAGAATTCTAAAGGTTTTCGGTCCATACAAAATACAACAAGTGAACTGTCTCTTAAACAATTCAAGCGAAAAATTTTATATTTTTCAAGGGCACTGAAGCTGCGGGCAGTGAGCAGCAGCAAGAAGTTGCGGAGAGCGATGACCAGCGCATGGAGGAAGATGATGATGGGTCGGATCGAAACAGCAGCAGTAGTAGCACGTCGAATGGCTTGAATACGACGTTTATAATAACAGGTTCTGGCGATCTGCCTTCCATGGATTGTGACGTAGAGGAAGACGAGGAGGAGAGAAGGAAGAAAGAACTTATGGCTAACTTGGCGCTTAATGTCGGCACTCAGGTACTGTTATGGATCACAGCTCTGAACATATACTGTGCGTTTAATTCATCGCATTGCTTAGTATAAAAGCTTCTTGCCATTTCTTTCACTTTCCTCTGTGCAAAAGGCCGAGGAATTTCTTTAAAAAGGTGTCAAGCGGATACTCGTAGTCCGATCTCTTTGAACTGGATAAAGCTGACCAGAGGTTTTCCAACGTCCGGCATTTTGTGAATTTTTGGTTCGCATTTAGAAATGACCCACTAAATTGATATTTTGTATCGGTGTTTTCAGGCGATTGTGCCACAAGAGCTGCTGGATAATTTTTTGCGTATGGTCGCCCCATTTGAGGGGAAAGGAAATGACATACATCGCTATTGTGCGCATAATTTCCCGGCAGTTGCATTCACACTTGGTCGCAAAAATTGGCACTGTATCATGGGCACTTATAAACAGCTAGCTTGTGATAGTCAGGTACCAAAATTCAAGCTTATTGCTTCATTTTTCTTTTTTTTTTCTATATGCTGTGACACTTTGATCAATATAATTCGTTCATCGTAGTAGGCTGATATACTAATGGCACTGGTGATATGTTTTGCATGATTGCTGTAACCAAAGTTGTATCATCAGGCCATCAATCTCTTGCTTCTGGCTGTGGTTACTTTGAATTAGGGGCGAAAAAAAGAGTACTGGGTTAATTATAAGTCATAGTATAGTTCTCTGTGCAGACGGGAGTTCTTCCTGTTAAT